CACTGGCCAGGGCAGCAGCATCTTTTTTTTTTTTTATTCTTTGTATTTCTGTGGTAGCAGTTTATTTTTTTTATTTTTTTTATTGCTTAAAGTATTTAACGCTCTCCAGTTCCATCCATGCCATTGCAAATGGTAAGAGTTCCTTCCTTTTTAGAGCAGCATAGTATTCCATCGTGTAGATGTACCACAGTTTTCTAATCCATTCATCTACTGATGGGCACTTAGGCTGTTTCCAGATCTTAGCTATGGTGAATTATAGCAGCAGCATCTTTTAAAAGAGCTTATCTTTGGGGAGTTTCCTTCTCTCCAGCACACTGGCTGCCCAACATGCCTCTGAGGTAAACTGCATACAGGATCTGCCCGATTATGTCTTACAACTGCACGTGACTCCACCTACGTGTATCTCAGAATAAAGCTAAATAAACGTCATAGGACTCACCTACTCAGTGAATAGACCTGCTGGCAGCTCCTGTTCCGGGCACTGGGAGGGAGCAGAGAAGGGCAGACATGCGCCCTGACCGCCCATGAAAGTGGCTTCTCCAGACTTCACTCTGCCAGGTTGCTTGTAGTTCAAGTCATTAAGTCCATGCTTATTCTGTAAATGGTGATTAGAAAGTATTCACTTACTAACCCCTTGCAAAGTAGGTCTGATGGGTCTCTGGGTTACTTAGCAAGAGTTACAGTGCTTGTGAACAGCAAACCTGTCCCTGGTGGTAGCTGAGTGACCCCCTCTTCTCCCCACCCAGTCTAGAACGCCCGGGATTAAATGCGCTCCTCAGCAGCTTGCAAGCTCTAACTCCATCTCCCCGCTCCTTGCCCAGGTGGGAGAGCGCCCCCAGGAAGCTGTGACAGAGGCCGCGGTCTGAGCCGGTGGATGTCCCTGATGAGTCACAGACCCTGGCGAATGCTCCCCGAGGAAGGCGCTTCCACCGCCCTGGAGAGCCCAGCCTACCGGGGGCATGCAGGCAGCCCACGGAGCCCGGCGGCCCCCGCAGCGCTGAGGGGCGCCCCTCCGGCGTTTCCGTCCAGACTCCCAGCTTCTCCCCAGGATGTCCTGCAACCGCACGTCCGCGGAGACGTTTGAATCCCTGCCGCCCAACGGGAGCTACGCGTGGGAGGCGGCGGCGGCGCCGCTCCGGGGCTGCCTGGCCGGCCTCCTGGTGCTGATGATCGCGGTGGGCTTCCTCGGCAACTCCGTGGTCTGCGTCATCGTGTACCAGCGGCCGGCCATGCGCTCCGCCATCAACCTGCTGCTGGCCACGCTGGCCTTCTCGGACATCATGCTGTCGCTGTGCTGCATGCCCTTCGCGGCCGCCACGCTGGTCACCGTGCGCTGGCGCTTCGGCGACTCCTTCTGCCGGCTCTCGGCCGCGCTCTACTGGTTCTTCGTCCTGGAGGGCGTGGCCGCCCTGCTCATCATCAGCGTGGACCGCTTCCTCATCATCGCCCAGCGCCAGGACCGGTTGACCCCGCGGCGGGCCAAGGCGATCATCGCCGCGTCCTGGGCGCTGTCCTTCTGCGTGTCGGCGCCCTCGCTGGCTGGCTGGACCCTGGTGGAGGTGCCCGCGCGGGCGCCCCAGTGCGTGCTGGGCTACACCGAGCTCCCGGCCGGCCGTGCCTACGTGGTGACGCTGGTGGTGACCGCCTTCTTCGCGCCCTTTGGCGTCATGCTGGGCTCCTACCTGGGCATCCTGCACGCCGTGCGCAAGAATGCGGTCCGTGTGCGCAACCAGTCGGACACCCTGGACCTGCGGCAGCTCGCCAGGGCCGGCCTGCGGCGGCGCCAGCGGCAGCAGCAGGTCAGCTTGGACTTGAGTTTCAAAACCAAGGCCTTCACCACCATCCTCATCCTCTTCGTGGGCTTCTCCCTGTGCTGGCTGCCGCACGCTGTCTACAGCCTCCTGTCCGTGTTCAGCCGGCGGTTCTACTGCAGCCCCTCCTTCTACACCACCAGCTCCTGCGTCCTGTGGCTGGGCTACATCAAGTCTGTCTTCAACCCCATCGTCTACTGCTGGAGGATCAAAAAGTTCCGCGAGGCCTGCATAGAGCTGCTGCCCCAGACCTTCCAGATCCTCCCCAGAGTTCCTGAGCGCATCCGAAGGCGCGTCCAGCCCAGCACCATCTACACGTGCAATGAAAACCAGTCGGCTGTCTAGCGAGAGGCGCGCAGATGGAGGGGGCACAGGGCCTAAGCCAGGACCTGGCTGTCCTGCTCTGCCTCCTGGCATCTGAGCCCCAGTGGGCATCCTGTGGCCGCCAATGAAGCACAAAGGTACTCATTTGTGAGCAGAGGAGCTGGGCTCCCTTGCAGGGTGAATGATTTCCGTGTTCTGCTGCAGGAGAGCAGGGGTGGGTCTAGATGGAGACTTGGGAGGAAGGTGCTGGGAACTGGAGGGAGCAGGGAGTGGGCAGAAAGTCAGGGAAGAGGAGGGAGCAGGGGGTGGGTGGGCTGAGTGTGGGCAGAAGGAAGGCTCTACTTAAGAGAAACCCTGTGGTTTCTATACATTGATCACATGAGCGTTTCCAACTAGGCCACATCGTCCTTTCTGTAAACCAAGATCACGCTGGGAGCAGAGGGAGCCGGTGCCTCTCAGCTCCCGGGAGGGCACGTGGGAGACCCTGGGGCAGCTCAGCTGAGAGGAGAAGCCCAGGGAGGGCTGGGTGTGTACCCTGCCTCTCCTGCCGCCCAGCACACCCTGTCTCTGGGCCTGAGGCCTCCATCCTCCCTGTCTGCCAGGACCGTCCCTCTGCCCCTCTCTTTCCC